TTCTTTCTTGCTAATAGAACCCTATTTGTATTCAGGTGTCAGGTAAAGCTTCCTCAAAATTAGGGGACGTGGGCCCAGCCCCAGAGGGAGAACCATGATAGGTCCAAATCAATCATGGTAAAGTTAAAAATCAAAGTTTTTGCCAATGCTCCAAGATACCATATATGCAGCAAGCCAGAAAAGGAGTAAGACCATATGCAGAATTTATTTAGGAAGTATTCAAAAACAGGTCATTTGACTCTCAGACCTCCCACCTAGAGTATACAAAGAGTTGGGCTGTTGCAGTTGAGGAGAGGACTAGTAAAGAAGATTTATTTAGAGAACATTATAGCTGTGTTATGTGTCTTGTGGTAGGCTGAATCATGGCTTCCAAAGAGAGCCACTTCCTATCCCCAGACCTGTGAATGTTGCCTTATATGGCAAAAGGGATTTTGCGGATGTGATTAGGTTAAGGATCTTGAGGTGGGGAGATTATCTAGATTGTCTGGATGGGCCGTAAATGTAATCACAAGTGTGAGGCAGGGGGAGACTTGACTACAGAAGCAGGAGATGTGGCAACCAAAGCAGAGATTGGAGTGATGGAGCCAGAAGCCAGGAATGCGAAGTCTCTAGAAGTTGGAAGAGCAAGAAATAGATTCTCTTCTGGAGTCTCCAGAAAGAACCAGCCCTGCTAACACCTTGATTTTGGCCCCAAACACTCATTCTGGATTTCGGACCTGCAGAACTGCAAAAGAATCACTTTGTGTTGTTTTAGGCCACTAAGTTTGTGGTAATTTTTTACAGCAGCAATAGAAAATCAAGACATGTCATTTTCTTCCACTCCTAATCTGCACACCCTTCAACAAGGGGTGAAGCAAAAAGACGGACTTCAATGGGACCAACCAAAGAACTTGACACGTATTCCCTGAGATTAGGGGAACTCAATGGACCGAGGTCTGACGTGGAAAATTGGAAATGTGAAATATGCGCTGGTTAGCTGTTCCGTGCCAGGAAAAAAGGAGAATGGGTACACTGAAATCAGCAGGTCCTCCCGTAGTCTGAACAAAGAATTCACGAGTGTTTTCTGTGGGCCACTCGTTAGAGAGAGAATAGAGAGAGGCTGTCTGAGATCTTGTTCAGTGGGCCTCCTGGAAGGTAAACAGGCCTCAGTAGAGAGGAAGTGGGAAGTGGACCATCCGATTCCTAGGGACTGTGGAGGGAACAAGTGATCCCCAGAATTCAGAGTATCCTGGATTCAAGGAACTACCTGGATTGGGACAGGGAAGGACAGAGACCAGTGGTTGGCCAGCTGAGGAGGAAGGAGAGGAAGGGAAAGAGAGAGGAAGGACCACGTCGTCTGCCCCCTCCACATCATCCTATTTGCAGGAGAAGATGTAGCATATTATCAACTTTCAGTGATCACAAGGTTTTCTATTTCCTAAGAGTTATCAGAACAAGTCACTCAAGTGCCTGAGTTGTCCTCCAAAGAAAAGCAAAGAAATGTTCTCTTCCCTCCAGCATGTTTAAAAGGACTGTAGGAGGCAAAAATGAAATTGTTTTATAACTATACTCCGGGAGTCCTATTTGATCAGAGATACCAACTACAACTAGTCTAGGCCAGTCTTGGCAACCCCATTCCTTTTTGCCATGAGTTGGCTTAGAAATGGACTTGTGCCCTAGTTCTGGCCAATACGATTCAAAGGAAAGTCTGCTGGAGAGTTCCTGAGAAGTCTCTGCTGTGTGTCCCTTTTCTTCCTGCTTTGGTCATGGTCACTTGAGGCCATGATGCTTGGAGCTGCAGCCATTTTGCAACCAAGAGGAGACAAGGAAGGCAGAGAGGAAACATGAGAATAGCCAGGGCCCTTCAGAACCTCGTCGAGACACTGAACCAGTCCTGGAGTCCCCGACCTTCAGTCTTATTAAGTGAACTAATACATTTTATAAAGTTTGAGGCATTGTTAGTTGGGCATTCCGATGATGACCAGCCCATCCTAATTGGCATATGCTCAAAGTTTAAAAGGCCCCATTGCCTTTCACTACACAAATGTAAGATGTTGTAACATTCCCAATTGAATGGCATACTACTTTATTGGATAGATTTTTTATCTTTATTGCTTAACTAAAATTAATATTGCATCTCTGTGTTATGCCTCACCATTAGAAGTTAATCAGCTATTTATACTCTTAGTTTAAAAATTAAAAGTTTAGTATTAAAAAATTGTAGCTGTAGTTTTGATAACTGACCTCATCTTGTTCTCTAGGTATGATTTCTATGAATGGCAGAAAATAATTCTTGAGCTTGCCAATAAAATATCGCTAAATCTCTCCTGATTTTAAACAGTCTCTTTTGGGTAGCGATCCAGTCAATTCTGAAGTTGCACTCATTATCAGTGTGGTTTCTGTCAAGGGGTCTCCCAAGGTGATGTCCAAGTGCAGGAGACATGTACAGGTTCCCAGTGCTAGTGGGATTACCTGCTTGCTCTCATGTTTTCACTGAAGACTATATTACTACTCTGTGAGATCAATTTCCAATGTGCTTTTATTTATTTATTTATTTATTATTTATTTATTTATTTATTTTTGTCCTTTTTTGAGACCGGCCGCACCGCGCTCAGCCAGGGAGTGCTGTGAGCGCACCGGCCATCCCTATATAGGATCCGAACCCATGGCGGGAGCACTGCTGCGCTCCCAGTGCCACACTCTCCCGAGTGCGCCATGGGCTCGGCCCCCAATGTGCTTTTATGCTGATGTTTTCTGTTATGACAACCCAACTTTTTATGAAGGTCTCATAAAACCCAAAATAGCCCTGAGAAGAGGAAATGCCTGCCTTAAGGATGGCAAAGGGCTGCTGGAGTTGGGGAGGCAGGACAAGATGAATGACTGGGCCAAGGGGGCATCCCGTTTTGGTGTCTCAGTGGCATGCTTCCTAAAAGCCACAGCACAGCCTCATCAGTTTGGATGTGCCTGCCAGGGGTATTAAATCTTAGGGAGTAACTCAAGGAGATTGTTCATGGTGCCAGTGTTCGAGGTAGCCCCCAAAAGTGGCCTCCTGAATTGTTCCTGCTATGTGATTTTGGCTGTGTTCACAGTCAACAGCCTTTCTTGGTTCTTGTTCAATTCTTAAGCCTTCTGGCCATTATGTGAGCTCTCATTATGCTTTCTCTTTAAATTAGCAGGAGTGAGCTTTTGAATTTTGCAAACAAGAGCCATGATGGCTATAAGCTCTTTCAGTAAATTTATTGAGAGACAATTTCCATGGGTCTTTTGTGTTTCTGCATGTATTGCTAGCAGAGGCACTGACTTTTCAAGAATGTTTACATAGCAAATAACCTTGGAACATAGAGATCATGTCCCCTTCTGGAGCAAAGAGCAGGTTTGCTTACTGCCTGTTAGAAAAGATTTGGATTCCCTAAGCTCAGCGTTCCTCTTGTAATGCAGTTCACTGCATATACAAGTAGCCATCTGTGTCACTCATGGGACACTGAAGCAAGGGGAGCTGACACAAATATGCTGGTGCTGCTGAGTAATAAAGTCCTTTGTCTCTGACTCAGGAGTCTCATGTTTTCTGGCATCACCCATGAAACTACAGCATGCTAACTTGGCAGCTTGCAAGTAGGGAAAAATTTCAGATCCTTCACAGTTCTTGACAGGGTTGTTCCCATGTGACTAGAAGATTCCTGGGGGCTGGTTCTGCTCTTTTTCTTCTCCATCCCACCAAACTTCCTCCACCAAACTGGAATATGTCCTCCACCTTCAGACTTGGATAGGAGACCCTATCATTTTTCCCTATCAGCCTGGGATCTCTTTGAGGTCAGCAACCGCATCCCATCAGACTGAGGGCTTCCCAGAGCCTGTGTTCACTGCCCACCTGCACACTCCTGTCTGCCAACATGGCTCACTGTAAGGCCCAGGAAAGGAAGAAATTTTCCTGAAGCTCCATGATTTTATTCCCTCTCCCACCCCCCATTCACATGCACAGACACAATAAATACAATATCCAGGAGCCACACTTGCTTCTTCCCCAAGCCCTGCTTCCTGCTGAACTTGGCACTATTTCCTTCTGCTCCTTGGAGCTAGAGAAATAGGAGGAGTGGGGAAGTAGGAGGAATGAAGAGCCTGCGGTGAGGAAGGACAGGGATAGGACAGAAAGGGGAGGAAAGAATATGATGACACAAATAAACACAATGCTTTGAGTGCTTTCTGTGGGCCAGGTAAAGTCTGGTACCGTACTTCTATCTCTGACTTACAGATGAAGAGACCGAGGGTCAGGGAGATAACATGTTAAGAATAAGATAGCTTTTATATTTATGTAGTAGAGCTGGGACTTGAACCCAGTCTATTGAGGGCCAAAACCACCCAATACTCCCCTTTAATGCCTTCCCACGGTGGAAGGTAGGGGACACCTGGGTTTTGAGTGCTATTACTGATTGAATTGTGTCCTCCCAAAGTTTGATGTGTTGGAGGCTTGGTCCCTACTGTGGCAGTGTTACGACAGTGGGAAATCCTATTGTGCTATTTGAAAGGTGGGGCCTTGGAGAGGTTATTGGATTGTAAGGACTGTACCCTTATGAATGGATTGATCCATTCTTGGAGTAATGGGAGTGGTTCTGGCGACTTTAAGAAGAGAGTGAATGAGGAGGTTAGTGTCTCTCTGTTCCACCATTCTGCCATGAGATACCCCTGTGTCACTGTTGCCACCAACAAGGCCTTCACCAGATATGTTCCCTGGACTTTGGACTTCCCAGCCTCTGAAACTGTAAGCAATAAATTTTTTTCTTACAAATTACCCAGTTCCAGATATTTTGTTATAAGCAGCAGAAATGGACTAATAGAAATGCTTCTGGACACTCTGGGAAAGGCAGTTATTCCTGGGTGGAACCCTATGGGCAGGTGACATTCTAGCCCCACCGCTTGTGATCCAATAGAGGCTCTAGAGACCAGACCAAGTTCTATGGATCCTGGGGGCCCCTTCACATCCTAGTCCCTGATCAGGGGAAGTGAGCAGCACAGTCTTGGGAAGAATGGATAAGTACGGTGAGTGGGGTTGAAGGCAGGGTGGGGCTGGAGGACAGAGCCTCTTGACTCTAGCTTGGATTAACTGACCCATTACTACGGCATCCCCAGAGTACAAGTGCAGCCTTTTCTCAATTGCCAATCCATGTAGCTACAAGCCCTCTCCTTTCTCCTTTCTGAATATTCTTGACATTTGCTCCCTCATCTCACCTGCTCCTGTTCAGACCTTTATCTTCTCTGGCCTGGATCACTGTAGTGACTCCTAAGTGGGTCTCCCTCTGTACTGTCAGAGGGAACATTTAAAACACAGCTCTGAGCAGATCCCTCTAAACACTCAGTGGCTCCCACTGCTGAGGGACTAAGTCCAAACTCCATAGCCCAACACTCAAAGTCCCAGCCTTCCTTTTCAACCCCATTTCCCTTCTCCTGAAATGTCCCCAGCACCCCTTTCTGGCTGGGTACTAGGCCTGGCCGTTCACCACCTGAAGGCTCCTTAGTGTGTTTTCCTAAGTAAAATTGCGATGGACCCTGGTTCTCCACTTACCAAGAACTGGCAGAATCTTTGAAACAATTTATTTTTAGAGGTTTTTAAAGTTCTGGATCAAATTCAGAGGCCCCTCCCTCTAATATCCAAGAAGGTTGTGAAGATTGAGGTGCATGATGAGCCAAGCGAGTTTAGCACGGAGATTACATGCAGTTGGTGCTCGATACTCATGGACAAGAATACAAATTATTATCATTACCCTTTGCACCCAACCTCTTTAAACAGGATGGACGGGGATCCATAGAAAGCTTTCTTAACCTTTCCAGAGCAGACCCCTCCTCCCCCTTCTTTTTACCAGTCTAGCCATCCAGGTGCTGCAGACAGCAGGTCCCACGGTGCTGGTTGCATGTTTGCTGAAGGGGTGGTGGACGGCTCCTGCAGGAACCTAGCTTAGTTTCCCTGTCAGCCCAGGAACTTCCTGCCCGGCGAGGCTACTGCTTGGAGTTGTGGAGTCTGTGTCCTGAACAAAGACACCAGCAAGGGAGGACAGTGGTGGCTGAAGTCCACTGGCAATTGGGGTCAAGCCTGGATGAAGAAGAGGCACCTTTTCCTCAGTGGTTCACCCCAAGGACATAAGAGGCACCCTTTCTAATCATACAGAGCCGCTGTACGCCCACCTGCGGCCCACCCTGCCACTGGTGATGCTGAGGGAGAAAATCCCATTCAAAAAAACAAACTATAAACAACCACCTATTAAAATGACAATCGGTGCAATTAATGTTTATTGACAGGCTAAGGAGAGATAAGGTACCCCCCCACAAGGTGGTGAGGACCCATCATCGTGTCCTCCCGGTTGGCAGTCCTCGTTGCTAGCGTCCGTAGATCGCAGCCTCACAGCAACCCTTGAGATGCGCACTCTTTTTTCCCATTTTACAGCTGAGGAAACGGAGCTAGACAAGAGCGAGGTGACTTGCCCCAATCCTCAGCTAGGAAGTGCGGGCGCCTCCCCGGACATCCTGCACTCTCTGTAACCCCCTCAGGGAGGTCTGCTGGCCCGGCGCATCTCGCGCACACGGCCAGGGTACCCGAGCCCTTCACCGGGGCCAGCGGGACTGCACTGACCTCCTCCCCGCCCGCAGGCGTGAAGACCCCCTTGTGGAAGAAGGAACTAGAGGAGCCCCGGGCCAGGGAGGCGGGGCAGGAGGAAGCAGAGGACGGGTCGGAGGACGAGGAGGAGGAGAGGCCATTGGAGGAGAGCGCGGCCGAGGGCGAGGAGGAGCCCCGGGCGACGGCCGAGGGCGAGGGCCGCGAGCGTCGCTCGGTGTCCTACTGCCCGCTGCGCCAGGAGTGCAGCAGCCAGCAGGTGGCGCTGCTGCGGATCGCCGACGGCGGCTTCTGGAGCTGGCTCAGCCCCTTCGCGCTGCTCGGCGGCCTGGCGGCTCCCGCCGACAGGTGAGCGCGCGCCCCTCGGCGGGGTCCCCAGGGCGGAGGGACGGCGGCGGGCACTGAGCGCTCGGGTCCCCGCCCGCAGGAAGCGGGGTCTCCGGGAGGAGCCGTGCGTGCTGGAGACGCGGCGGAGGCCGCCGCGCCGCGGGGTCTGTGCGCGCTGTGAGATCCTTTTCTGCAAGAAGTGCAGGAGTCTGCACAGCCACCCGGCCTACGTGGCGCACTGCGTTCTGGATCACCCGGATCTGGGTAAGGCGGGGGCCGCCGAAGGCTCCTGAACGCCACACTCCCGCCCCCCGCCAGCCTTTGTGCCCCCCATCCTCGCCTGACCTGAAACTGCCCGCAACCTTCTCCTCTCCCCTGTGCGGAGCCGACTCCAGCACGTGCCACACGGCCGTCATCCGGGGCGCCCCCCTCGGGCGAGAAGGCCCACTGCTAATGCGGGGTGCCCACCTGTCATCGAGCGCTCCCAACCCAGAGCCCAGCAACACCCGGAGCCCCGCTACTTGCGACTCCTCGCCCGCGGCAGCACCCAGTGCCTCCTGCGCACCTGACTCGCGTCCCCTGACAGACACATTCATCTCTTGGGTATTTCAGATCCTCTGGCCAGGTGGGCAGAGGCATCGCCTAGAGAAAATCATCTCCGAGTTCCCTCATCTCTCTGAGAAACCTGCCCCTTTCCTTCCAATCATTCAATAAAGCCTCTAATCAAAGTGTCAGTGTCTCGAGATGGGGGTGAGATGAGGTGGCTCGGGGGGGTGGGGGGGGGTGAAGATGGGCCCTTCCTCCCCTCTCCTGGGGTTCAAGCCAGAGGGAAGAGTGTGGGCAAAGAGGCTTCTTCCTCGCGCCTCCCCAGGACAGGGCGGTACAAGGCACTTGCATCCAAGGGCAGTCAAAGGCCATCCTCCCCACTGCGCAAAGAAGAAAATGAAGGCGTAGGGCCAGGAATGCCCGTGGGGAGCTGAGGGCTGAGCCCTTGCCAGACCATTCTCTCCTCCCCTGGAAGCCCCGGCTTGCTGAGGTCGGTGTGTGTGCAAGATGAGGCACTGGCAGGTGTGGAGGGGCGGGGACGGACTAGAGAACCAGATGCTAAAATAAATGCTGAGACTGGCTGAGGCAGAAGACAGGGAGGCTGGGGAGCTGGTTTTCTCCAGGAATCCCAGCTATTCTTGGCCAGACAGCAGGAGCTTTGGGAATGCTGCGTGTGTGGCCTGGAGAATGGAGCCATTGTGAGCACAAGGCCTCCCCCAACCATCCCCAGTGCCTGCAGCAATGCTGACCCCAGGGAGGCTCCTGACCTCTCTGCTGCATGTCCTCCATCTGGCCTGGGGGGCAGGAGGGGATGCAAGGACATTTTGCTTTTTGAGGAGAGGCAGGCCCCTTTCCCCCATCATGACTATGCACACGCAGCTGGCTGGCCCTGGTTTGGATAGAAGAGCACGGTCCTGGCCCCCCAATATCAGTGCCCACCTGTTCTGCTGGAAGAGATGGAAGAACTGTCACAAGGAAGGCTGTGTCCCACCTCTAGGCCCACTAGGTGGAGGCATCTCTTTATTCCAGCCCCAGACAATAAGCCAGGACCCAGCAGGCCTGCACAGTGTCCCTCCTGCTATGTCCTGTCCCCCCAAAGGGGCTCTGAGGTTGGAGACCCCTGTGCCTTCACCCTTATCCAAGCATCCTGGGGGTGAAGCGTCCTGGGAGTGAGGCCTCTGATTAAATAAGACATAATTTTCCAAGAACTGAGCCAGGGGAAGGGACAGTCTTACAAAATAGTCTCCAACCTCTCCGTTGAGTATTGTATCCTCCCTGGTGGATCGCAGGGCTGTGGCCTTATGGATGAAAGTGCACCGTCAGAAAAAACAAAATCCCCAAGGCTTGGGGAGGAAAGAGGTCCTTGGGGGAAAGGGTCGTGGAATCTGGGATCCTTTCGTGCTTCTCCTTGGATTGATCCCATCCCTACCTCCATGTGGTAGGGACAACACAAAGACAGTGCCACCTTCTTCAGGGAGCAAATTCAGGCAAACTTCCTGGTGGGGGCGCTGCTGCCTGCTCTTCTGCAGGGAGGCTCAGAGGCTTCCAAGACAGGTCCTGCCCCAGGGCAGGGAAAACTGAGGGCACCAACATTTCATTAGGCGGTGAGGTGGTTAGGTGCCTTCAGAACAGGGCGCCCCCTGAATTGGCATGCCAGCAGCCCATCCAGGGCAGCTCAGTGGCCCACTGGCCCGAGGAAGTCACCTGCAGTTTGGCCTGGTCGAGGTGCCAGTAGCGGTCATCTCTGAAGAAGATGATGGAGCCGTCAGGCCTTGGCAGGGCACCGCTGACCTCCTCAGGGACACCACCCCAGTCCTGCAGGCCACGGGGATAGTAGGGTTCTACCTGTAGTCCCCCTTGGGCCAGCATGTAGTAGCGGGCTCCCTTGAAGAGGACGAGGCGGCGTAGAGGAGGGAAGAAAAGGGCCGCATCGGGATGGCGGGGCAGGCCCCCTGCCCGGCACAACTGTGGGGAACCCCACACTGGCTTGGGGCCCTGGAACCTCCAGCATCGACTCCCTAGGAGGCATTGGGAGAGCCAGGGTGAGCTAGATGATCTCACCCACTGGCCCCCCACCCCACCTCTGTCCCCTACACCCCCTACTTCCCCTCAAGTTGAAGCTCACAGTTGTTAGTATTTGTGACAGTCCAAATGAATTAACTACTAGTTATAGTAACTTAAAACGGTCGGGGAGGTAGTAAGAGAGGGACTATTATGGTCTAGACTTCCACCAGGTGTCAGCAGAGAGCAGACAGCACTGAATGAACCTATCATCTATTGGGGAGGGGGCAGGGCCCCTCCCTGGGTGAGGAAAGTAAAACCAGGTAGGCCTACAAGCTTTCTTCACTATCTTTAGTACTAATAATTTTATGAGGGCAGAGATCTTTGTTTTGTTCTGTTCTGTATCCCCAACACCTCCAACTGTGTCTCATGCACAGAAAGCACTCGGTATTTGTTGAATGAATGAATGAATGAATACAATTTACTGAAGCATTACATGTATCTAGTTATATACTGCACACTCTTTGGTCATTTTTCTCTTTTCATCCTCCTTCCCCAGCAAACCTGTTATTATTTCCCCCATTCAAGAAATACAAGCTCCAAAGATTAAGTGACATGCCCAACCTCACCCAGCCAGGATTTCAAGGAAGATCCGACTTTTTCCGTTGTATTACAGGGCTCAAGAGCAGTTCTTGGCTTCCCTCTAGACTCTTCTCTGAAACTCTCCCTGGGACAACCTTGACACCTCCTGCTCCCCACTCCATCACTGAAAAAAATCTCCTGGTAGAGTCTTCCCTGGGGCCACAGGTTCCAGCTAGAATAGAGACTCCACCATGGACTTGCTGAACTAGACACCTCCTCTCTTTTGTCCTCTTTTGACTTTGGGCAGGACACCTCCCCTCTCTAGACCTTAATTTTCCCAGCTGCTCTAGGGCTGGTACCTTTGAAGAAGTAGAAGTCTCCATCCTCCAGTGACACTGCGGCGGCCTCAATGTTGGGGGGCAGCCCGGCCCACCTTTCCTGTAGTGGGTGTGGCTCTGAGACATTGCCATCAGCTGCCACCTCCCAGAAGTGGCTCCCTTTAAAAATGTACAGTCGCTGTTGCCCATCTGCCCAGAGACAAGAGAGAATTGAGGAATGACCATCAGCCTTCTGTTGCTTTCCAGGGAATGTGCTATCCTAGAAAGCAGTGCTGGGGCCCAGAAAGTGACATCCCAAAGTGAAGGCCTCAGAGCACAGCAGCCTCAAAAATAAAGTTGTCCTCTGACTTTCTCCTGCCCTCCTGTCTCTCAGCCTCATTCTCTCGCGAGGCAAGCCATAGAGACCAGAATCCCTCCTCCCCAAGGCGGGCCACAGATATACTCTAATCCTCCTCCCCACCCCCAACCCCAGCCTCTCTGTCTTGGAGCTAACCACAAAGAAATTCTCTGATCTACCTTGTCTGACTGTAGGTCATAAGACCCCCATTCCAGAAAGGGTCCTGCCCCATACCCTGGAGAACTGAATGCTACACAGAGAGGGCAAGAAGCATCTGAACAGACAGGCCTTGCCGACTTTCCCCACTCAGTCTGTTAGCATCAGAGCACACTTTTCTTGTCCAATCATCACATTTCTACACAGCTGTGCCTGCTTCATAGCCCCTAAGCATAAAGAATATGGACAATTTTCCCTCTATCTTTGGGTCTTTATTCTGCAGGCTCGCATGTCATGTATAACTACGATATAATAAAATTTGTTATGCCTTTTCTTCATATTAATCTATGTTTATCAGGTGATTTTTCAAAGAACCTTCAGGGGATTGAAGGGGATGTCTTCTACACCAGCTTCCCAAACTGACAAGCAGAGAATGTGGCATGCAAAGGTGGGCGGGAGGGAGCAGTGTTTTGCTTGGGTGTGGGCTGAATCCTGCAGAATGTATGTGGCTTGGAATTTCTAGATTTTATACTCACCCCTCCCGCCTTGTACTCCCAGCTCTGGAGACCCCAGGAGATGTGGGGGAGGAAGGAAGAAGGAAGCAAGGCATGGGTGGGACCATCTTACCTACAGTGATGGCATCGAAGGAAGAGTGGCAGTATTTGGAACCTCGGGTTTCAGGGCGCCTGCCCTGGGGACTTTGGGGGTCCCAGGCCTCAAAGTCAGTGAACAGCTTTCCTGGGAGCTGGATGGCCATTGAGCCCCCTAGGGGCTTCCCTTTATGGGAAGGAGAGAAGAGGAGAATACACATGGGTTGGGGTATGTTGTGTGCTCACGACCTCCCCTTTGGTTCCTTTCATAATTATATAATATGAGGAGCAGGGAAGCAGAGTGACAGTGGAAGTTAAGAATTGTCCCTGGTTGTTGGTGGTAACCATAATTGCACTAAACCCATGAATTTTCTCTCTTACCCGACAGCCTGGGAAAGAGGGACCTACTGAGACAAAATTGGAGTGGGGGACCAAGCAAGGGTTTGGAAGGAAAAAGGGCAGAGGGTCCTCTTCCCTGAGTCCTGGGCAACACAGGTGGCATGAGGACAGAGTTCAGGGACACAAGGTGTGATAACTACAGCAATTATATATATGTATAAAACATATATAAACAAAAAACCCCAAAGTAGCCATAAAGTTGAAAGATAGTTTAAAAAAAAAACCCCAAACCGGAAGTAGCAATTATAATAATTACATCAATCTCCTTCACTTATGAGAGGAATGAAGCAGAGTCCATCTGCTACTTCCTGTGTGACCTTGGGCAAGTTACCTAACCTCTCTGAGCCCCATTCTCCTGAACAAAAAGATACTTACCTCGTGGGTGTATTGTATGTGAAGTGCCTGTCTATGGTAGACACTCATGAGATAGCAGTGGTTACTATTACACTGTGGAGGTTTTTCAGGCTACAAAGCATGTTTGTCCCCACTAGCACAACAGCCCTGTGAGATTAGCAGGGCCTTAATCATCCCTTTTCACAGAAGGTAAAACGGAGGGGTCTCAGAGGGGACAAGCTTTGCACAAGAGCACCTGCTAATCAGGGATGAACTTGAACTCAGGCCTCCTGGCTCGGCACCACACACCGCTTTAGGACAGGAATCCTGTTTGAGGAGCCGGCGTCCAAGGGCTGGAGACCTGGGGACAGGGGTGGCGCCAGGAGCGGGGCATGGCTGGGGGGCTCACCATACAGGCTCTGCACGGCCAGCACGTCGTCCCAGCTGAGTAGCGCGTCGCGGCCCAGCTTTTTGTAGTAGGGCGCCATGAGCGCGCGCGGCGCCGGCGAGTGGGTGAGGCCGAGCGTGTGGCCGATCTCGTGCGCCAGCACCACGAACAGGTTGCGCCCGCGGCGGCCGCTCAGGGACCAGCGCTCGTCTTGGTCGAAGTGCGCTTCGCCGCGACGGGGCAGGAAGGCGTGCGCCAGGGCGCCCCCTGCAGGCGGCGCAGAGGGTCAGGGGGAGCCGCGGCCCGCGGCGTCCCCACGTCCCCACGTCCCGGCTCAAATGCCACTGGAATAGGTGTGGCTGTTTTCTACTGCATAATTTCCCTCCTAGTTAAGTCTGGCAGAAGCTGAACTGTGGAGAGGCGTGCAGATGACCAGGCCATGAGGCGTGGATACCTAATAGGCAGTGTGGTACAGATAGAGCACGGGGGGAAACTGCCTGGGTTCTAATCCTAGCTTTACCATTTACTAGCTGTGTGACCTTGAACAGGTAGCCTAACCCCTCCGTGTCTTAGCTTCCAGATCAGAAAATGGGAATGATTATAATAAGCTTTTTTTTCCCCAGGGTTGTTTTGAGGAATAAATATGTTTGTGTGTGTACATGTATGTTACGTATGGTATTTAGAACAGTGCCTAGCACATAAGTGCTGCATAAGGATTATTTTCAAAAAGATCTAGGAGTAGGTATAGTGGTTATCCCTAGAGGGGGATATGATGAGACCTTCTGTTCTATTTTTTGAGCTTGGTGCTGGGTGTGTTTGGTGTGTGAAACTTCACCAAACTGCAAACATATGATATGGTGCACATTAATGTGTCTATATATTTTACTTAATAAATACACACATATATGTATATATGCTTGTGTTCTTGCCCTCTCTGTGCCAGGGCACCTCTGTGGGCCTCTATTTCCCTGCTTGTAACAGTAGTGAGCAGAGGGAGTTGGCCTGGATCAGTGATCCCCAAACTTTTAGTATGACAAAGACGGATCTTATCAGACCTGCAGATTCCAGGGCCCCACCCCTCACAATTCACTTTCTGCAGGGGCAGGTGACCCTGACACAGGAGTGAGCAAACTGCTGTGATAATGTGGGCCTAGAAGCTTGTTGAGGATCCTTCCAGCTTTGCCTTCTCAGAGCCCAGGCCAACAGGGACTGACAAAGGTCAGGAGGCTGACATTAAAGGGAGAGCCTCCTGGGGCATGGAGAGTCGGCCATGTGAAGGAATACATGCCTCGTATTCTGAACATACCTCCAGCTGTTTCAAGCACTGTTTGCACTGTTTAGCTCTCACAGGGAGACAGATGGGCAGGTTTCAGAGGGGAGCAGATCAAAACTTAAAAGACAAAGCATCTGTCCCAAATCAGAGAGGTGCTTGGGGAGCACAAGGTCCTGACTCCTAGTACGGTGCTGTCTTAGCTAGCAAACGCTGTCTGGGTATGCATGTAGGTATCATGGGTGAAGTGAGTTACATGCAAGCATGTGTGTGTGCTACATGTTGATTCTTGCAAGGCCTAGATTTCTCCCAGTCCTAACCCGGGTCCCAGCAGCAGAGCCTGGAAATGGACCTTGCCATAGGTGGGCTTGATGGAAAATAGGGTAGTGCAAGGAAGATGGGGGCCCAAGTTCCCAGGCCACACAAGGGCTTAAATCACCACCCTGAAGGGGTCCCATCAGGTTTCCTTTCCCCATTGGGAGAGAGGAAATATGGGCAAATAGCCCATATGTAGGTTCTGAAGGCCAGTGTTGGGCAGAATGGGAGGGGAGCAGTTTAAATGACATCTAGAAGCCTTCAGGTTGGGGACAAATATAACTACCTGTGGCTGTGGGTGTGTAAAGCACTTCCATAGCTGTCAGGGGGTAGAATGCCTCTTGCCCTGTGGTATTTGGGTGGGGGGTATTTGATGGAGAGGGGAAGCAGTGGTGGGGCAGTGGATGTTTTTTAAGGCTCTGGTCTGGAGAACATCCGCTCCTGGAGAACAAGAGAAGTACGGGCCTGTCTAGAGGCAGGAGATGGATGATGGGACCTTAGAAGATGCTCCCAGAATAAATAATATCTTTAGAGTTCATAAAATATGTCCCATACAGAACATTATCTGACCGTCCCTTCAGATGTGGTACATAATAGGGCAGGGACCACTGTTCCCATTTCACAGAGGAGGAGACTGGGGGTCCATTGGAGGGGGATGTGGCTTGGCCATGGCCACAGGGAGAGTGAATGCTCCATTGCCACCCCCAGCCTGCCTGTCCTAGTTGGATTCCCCTCCTGCTATGTGGAAAGAGGCTTTGCATCATCAGCACCTGGGCCATCGAAGGCGTTGCCCAGCCCGTCGTTGTGGTCCCCCTGGAAGAAGGTGAGTCGGATGTCAGCGGGGCCCGTGGCCGGGGCCTCCCAGAACTCCAGTGCCGAGACGTTGCTCCACAACTGGAAGGCGGCACGCACGGCTCCCCGAACTGCAGGCTCGGGCAGGTGCTCAGGCCAGTTCACCAGGCGGTAGGAGAGGTGTTGCTTGTACCATTTGTTGCCTGCCACCCAGAAAGGCATGTCATTCCTGCTGCAGAGCCTGAGTCTGGTCCCCACAGACCCAGAATGATGGGGAGGTAGGCCCTTCCCCAGGGAGCCCAGGAACTGATGGGGAAGACACAGCCCTTGCCCTGGGCAGCCCCCATTTGGCTGGGGAGATACTGCCTCTGCTGAGGGGAGCCCTCAGACTAAGAGGACTGCCCCTGCCATGGACAGTCCCCAGGCTGGGGGCTTAGCCTGGGGAGGTCCCAGTCTGAGGCAGGGGATGCAGCTTCTGCCCAGAAAAAGTCTCAGCCTGAAGGAGTCTGTCTGCACCCCCCAGTCTGGGGTCTTATTCTTCCCCACTGCCTGGGCTGAGGCTGAAAACAGTTCTGTGCCTCTTGCTGCCAGCATATCCCTGCCCCTGCCTGCAGTGTCAGGTGGAGGAGAGGTGGGGCTGTGGAGGCCACAGCTGTGACTGCCCCCGCCACACCGTCCTGCCATCTCCTGGAGGCTTCACCCTGCCCTTTCCAGTGCCTCAGGCCTGTGCTGGCCAGCAATCACAGGAGCCATTTATATGAGGTCCTTTCCTGCCCCTTGCTCTCCTCCTCCCTTCCTCAGGGACTCCAGAGAGCTCTGAGGTGAAAACAAGTAAGAACTAAGGGTGCGTTTTGTCACTGACTGAGAGAACATTTTCCATCTCAGCTTTGCTAAGAGTTTCTCTCCTTTTGCCCCAAACTGCAATTCCTCCCTGAGGGCCAAGACTCTGGCCTCTTGCCCCAGCCCCAGGCCAGCTGAATCTGGGTCCATCTGCAGTTCAGTATGCACCCAGGAACAGGGTGGCTAGAAGGTCCGGATCCCCAGTTTCTTATGGGCTACTTTTGAGGCCTGCAAACTCAAGGGCTGAGACTGTGAGCTCAAGTGGAAGACTTGCAGCTTGGACTCCTGGGCCCAGGGTGGGGGAACTGAAATCCAGGGGAAGGGTCCCACCCAGGGTCACAGAATGAGCAGCTGAGCTAGGCCCTGACCCCTAATCCAGAGCTCTTTCCATTATACCACATAGACAAGCAGACATATTTGCTGAGACTCCAGGCTTCTAACTCTGTCTAAACATCACTATTCTGGGGCAAAGCAGAGCTAAATTCTACAGATGGATAGGAAGGTCTCAGAGCAGAGGGGCTGGACTCCCTTCCCCTCCCTACCCCTGGAAGTGGGGGAGGGGTATGTCCCTTCTCCCGCCCCTGAGCCAAGCTCCATTCAAGGCAATGCTGCCTCCCTGGGCCTGTTTGGCCTGGCAGCCACCCAACCTCTGCCTCCCAGCCAGTGACCAACCCTCTGAGAGGGAAGAAGGAATGATTTTAAAGAAGGGAGGGAGATAAAGAAGGTGGGGGAAGGCCTGGGGTCCAGAGGCGCTGGCTGAGAGTTCATTACGCACCAATAGCACTTCTGCTAGTCACGCTGTAAGTCTTCACTGGGCACCAGACCAGCTGGCGCTGGGCTCTTTCACACCCTGCTGTGGGTGACTGATGCCCCTGACAAACCTTTAATCCTCTAGCAAAGTGTGAGGGAGCTCCTTCTGCCTCTTTGCAGCTGGGGGATGCCCCTCACTCCACAGGCAGGGAAGGTGGGAGGGTGGGCAATTCTCTCATTCCAAGTAGCTTATGAAGGTGTCAGGCGTGACAGGTCTCAGGAGAAAAATCCTCTGCAAAACTTGTGTGTGTGGGTGTGGGTGTGTGTGTATGCGTGCGTGTGTGTTTGAGGAAAGGACAGAGAGGATGAATGAATAGGAACAGGATTTGAGAGAAAATAACTGTTTCCCTTGGGAGGGAGCAGGGTGGGGGGTTGCTGGTGTGCCTGCTCGGAAGGAAGGGGCCAGCAGCCTGAGTCCTGTCCCCGTCTGCCTCCAGATTTGCTCCCTTGAGGAAGGCCAACTGTTTCAGGCCCCATCCCAGATTCCTGGCTGAGCAGGGCTGGTTTTCATGGCAACCCCCGGGCCCCAGTAGCACCCGGCACTGCACCTCTCACACCCTTGCTCCAAAGTCCAAAAAGGAAGAGGGAAGGAAAAGGAGCTGGGGAGGGGGAGGAGAGCTAGCTTTGCCTGGGAAGGACCTTGGAGTCCTGACTCCTAGCAGGCAACTGATACTGTGGAAAGAATGTGGGCTGGAATCCCAGTACTTCCATTTGCAAACTTACATAACAAATTATGGAATCTCTCCAAGCCTCAGTTTCCTTACTTGCAAAGTGGGGTTATAAGACTTCCCTCATGGTAGGATGTGAGGCTGAAATAGACTGCAACTCAAAGCTGCCTGGCAGGCTGCAGGTGCTCAGTAACTACCCACTCCTTTCTGCTGCCTTTTCCACCCCAGGGACACCCCCATGCCCTCCACTTGCACCAGCTCTGTGACGGAAGAGGAAGGATTAAAAATCAGACCTGCAGGTGTAGAAAGGAGCAGATTCCTGGAACAAGGTTGCCAGATTTAGCAAATAATACAGGATGCCCAGTTAAATCTGAATTTCAGATGAACAACAAGTAATTTTAAAAAATAAAAATAAAACAATTATTTGTTGTTCATCTGAGACTCAGATTTAACTCTGCATCCTGTATTTTATCTGGCAACTAAGTGCCGCTATCTTCTATCCAAAAGGGATGCCCCAAATTGCAGAGTGAAAAACGGACTCCATTAGACCTTCCTTAGGGCATGAGAAGTGAGATACAAGCAGAAGGAAGCATCTCTAGAGCTCAGGTTCCAAGTGAACTGCTGAGATTGTTTCTGGTGCTGCCCCACTTTCCACTGTATTCTCACAAGCTCCTGCCACGTGGTAATCAGGGACCATCTCTCCTGAGGGAACAGAGTCTCAGTGAGCAAGGTGACATGGACTGGGTCACAGAGCTGAGACTTGCACCCAGGACCTCTGGGTCCAGGGATGCAGCTCTCTCTGTTCCACCAGCACCTCCTGAGCTCCTGTCTCTCCTTTCTTCTACTTCACTTTTCCCCTCTGCTGCCTAGAAACACAGTGGAATGCAGAACATGTTGACACCAGGGACATCTTGAGCCCAAAGCCTGGCCCCCATCGCCGATTCCTTGCTTTACCAGCTCGGTCAGTCAGTACTGGAGATGCAGAGTGGCTAGATGTGTAGACGCAGCAGAATTAGATTGGCAAACACCTCGAAGCAGCACCTTCAAACAATGGAAGGGACATGCCCACAATTTCCTTACAGATTAGTTAAATGAAAACGAACCGTGGGCCTTCTGTCTTGCTCATAATGACTATTACTGGTAAAAGTAGTTAACACAAATGAAAACTGCAATGGCCCAAAATGCTCACAGTAAAATTAATTATTGACGAAAATCTGACCGAAAAACTCCATCGTATTAGAAATCTCGAAAAATGCAAAAATTGATCAGAGAAAACTAGACTTAGTAAAAGCAATCAAGATGCTAAAATTAGACCTAATAAAACTTGTTTGTGAAAAATTGACAGAAGAATCAAATCTTCATAAATCTTAGATCTGTACCATTTGACCCTGGAATATTGAATTCAGCAAAGAAAAAAAAAAGAGGTAAAGAAACAAAATAAAGCTATAAAAGGAACATCACAAGAGCAGAAAATGTAATGTGTAAAATGTACCATGATAAAATGTTCAGAATAGGCAAATTCATAAAGACAAAAAGTAAATGAGTGGTTGCCAGAGGCTTGGGGGAGGGAGAACAAGGATAACTGCTAATAGGCATGGAATTTGTTTTTGGGGTGATAAAAATGTTCTGGAATTAGATTGTGGTAATAGTTGCACAATTCTGCAAAAACAGTAAAAACCACTGAATTGTACACTTTAAATGGATAAATTATATAGTATATGAATTGTATCTCAGTAAAGCTATTAAAAATGTGCTATGCACAAAATAAAACTGATAGATGGATCACATCTTTGTTGATAATTGTAACAAAGAAGAATTGACTCTGATGACAATAACTTCAGTAAAATGTACATTAAAATGTTGGAAACAATTTAACTGCCCTGTGTAGAAAATTGATCAAGGAATTAAGTGGGCTTGATGGGGTTTGATCTGGAAAATACTCATATGATGACAATTCATCAATTTAGGAATAATTCTGATTTAAATGTCTGTATTCACAATCATGGTCCTCAAGTCAAGAGGTCCTATTTGCCCACCCCTCCTGCCCTAAGGAAGAGAGGTTACTGACAAAGCCCAGTCCCAGGCTGAGCCCTTTTTCTCCAGGGGCTTCAGGATGTTGGGGAATCCTAGCCTAGCTGGATTTTAACAGTGCTCACCTTGCTTTGCGAAGCGTTTTTTCCGCCTCATTTTAGTCCTGCGTCCAGCAAACAGGGCACCGATTCTCTCGGTCCAAGCTGCATGACTGTCAGTATCTGCAACCCCGCAGCGGGGTCGAGTCATCTGGCGCAGGGTGGCACGGTCCAGCAGGCCACTGACGGGCAGCTGGGACACCCACTGGAACTCTCTGTCAGGAGGAATTGAGATACAGGACCGCAAAGGGAGGTAGGTGGTAGGGGTGAGGGCAGGGAGGCCTGCCTTCTTGGGGCTTGGCCAGCCAGCCTTCCAGAAGGAGGAGGGAGACAACTGGAACTTTGCACCCTAACACTCCCAGTCCCCCACATCCCTGCATCCTACCTGATGGCATTGCTGAATTGAGTGGAGGTGGGAGCTTTGGGGACCTGTTCATTGAGGTATCCATACTTCTCCAGGAATGCCTAGGGAAAGAGGAACATCAGATTCTCCTACCACGCAGCATCCTCTCCCCTTCCTTGGTCTCCAAGGGTCCACAGCACACACTTCCTGCCCAATTTCACCTCTTGTTCCAAGAAGGTCTGTAAACCATAGCAGAAGTGTCCTGGGATTAAAGTCAAAAGGACCGGGATTCAATTCCAGGCCACCACTGACTAGGTGGATGATCTCAGGCAAGTCGCTCAATGTCTCTCAACCTTAGCTTCCTTACCTCTAAAACTGGGCTAGCAATACCTGCCCTGCATATCTCCTGGCATTGTTAGAAATGTAGCAGGACATGCTGGATAATACAGTTACCGGCTCTGGAGTTGGGCTGGCCTGGGTTGAATACCAGCTAGCAAGGTACTTCTCTAAACCACAAGTTTCTCAACTGTGAAATGGGCTTAGTAATAGTACTTTCCTACAGTTGTTTTCTTTTTTGTGTGTGATGAGGATTAATCCTCATAGTGTTTCTAAAGCACTTAACACAGCACCTGTTATATAGGAGGGACTCCATACAGAGTAGCTATTATAATATGTGTCATATAGATATACACTATTCATGTGCATCAGATTTGCTCCTGAAACATCTAACCTCTCTAGAAAAATCTTCCCATATCAGGAGATGATCAAGTGCTGTCTCTTCCATGCCTGGATTGGGAATTATCTCTCTAACTCTGGCTTCTTCCTAAACAACTCTCCTCCCCCCAAATTTAGATATATTTAAGGCTCTATGAAAAACATATGTACTTACCCTCAACTTTATAATTGATATAAAAACTTGACACTTTAGGGATGTATTTTTTTTTTCCTTTTTGTCTTTTTTACTGACCGCTAACGGGATCGCAACCCTCGGTGTCGCGCCCGTACCGGGGACCGGCAACGGGATCGCAACCCTCGGTGTTGCGCCCACACCGCGCTCAGCCAGTGAGCGGGAACCGGTCTCCACATGGGATCCGAACCCTCGGCGGGAGCGCCACCACGCTCCCACGCGGCGCACTCTCCAGTGCGCCACCGGACCGGCCCAGGGATGTATTTTTTGAATTAGAAAACTGCACCTTCCTTCTTTCATTCATTCATTTGTTATCATGCACCTGCTAGGTGCAATGGTAAATAAGATATTCTTAAGGAGCTTATCCATGAGTGGATAGAGACAGACAATAAAAACAGAGGTAACATGTAAATAAAGGAGATAAATTGGTGCTATGAAGAAAAGAAACCAAGTGATGTGATCGAGAATAATTTAGATAAACTTTACACCAGTAGGTCAGGGAAAGACTCTCTAAGGAGCTGATATTTGATCCAAGTCCTAAAGAATGAGAAGTAGCCAGCCATGCAACGAGGTAGGAAAGGTTGTTCCAGGGAGAGGGAACAGCAAATGCAAAAGCCCTGAGCTAGGAATGACATTGACATGTTTGAGGGACAGAGGAAGGCTGAGCACCGTGAATGTGAAGAAGCCGGGGTGGGATGAAGTCAGAGAGGCAGGGCTGTCAGCCGCAGTAAGAAGCGCAGGTTTGTTTTTAGTCTTGCCAATGGACTCACTGTGGGAAATGAAAGAAAGACAGGAGTGCAGGATGGCTCCAAAGTTTTTGGCTTGGAAGGTGGTACCATTTACTACATGAGGAAGCCTGAGGGAGGAATGGACGGGGGGCGGGTGGAATAAGATTAATGTGATGATGTAAAAGTGGCACTGGCTGTGTGATCCCAGAGCTCAGAGAAGCAGCCAGAATCTTTCAGCATGTAGACGATGTAAAGCCGTGGCCCTGGATGACGTCTTCTGGGGAAATCAGTACAATTAGAGAACATCTCACGCTCCAGATGCCTTTTACTCCCTGCTTGCCCTCACATGCGTGAAAGCTGCTCTCCCAGTGACCAAGTTCTTTAAGGCCAGTCGACAGCTGTGTGTGACTCATTCTCACCTATCACCAGTCCTACCTTTGGAGGGATGATGCACATAGGTCCCTGCTTGCCCTTCTCACTGATAAAGTCCCATAAATGTCACCTAGTATTAAAAAAGTCACCTCAGCTGCTTAATTCTTACACAGACACAGTCTCTTAATTTTTACCCCTCCTTGTTGCGTTACCTATATAGAAATCATTTTCTGTCTTCCTTGTTCTTACACTCACTTTTCTTTGCTGGTTTTTTTTTTTTTTTTTAATTTTTTTGGCAGCTGGCTGGTATAGGGATCAAACCCTGGACCTTGGTGTTATCAGCACCACACTCTAAGCAACTTCGCTAACCAGCCAGCCCCTTTGCTGTGTTTCTTAACTCAAAATAATTCCAACCATAGCTGCTGCCTCAAGGAAAAGGCACAAGTTGGGAATGAAACTAGACAATAAGAGCCAAGATCAGCATGTCCCTGAGTCTTTGCAAGTATCCAGCCTCCTCTTTGTGGATTTCATTTACATTCTTCTTCGGTGACCTCCACATCCTCTTAAGAAAGCCACTTTCCATAAGGAACCCTCATTCTAGACAACAGAACACCCTCCAAGTCTGTTTTATTGTTTTTCTGCATTAATTTATTAGTATTTTGGCACTATTGTTTTCTTTTTTCTCTTTACAAATGTAAACTAGTTTTGGATGCATAATGGATTAAAGGGGTTCTAGTGACTTAATCTGGAAAACTATTTACTGCTCAACATAATGTGGTGTCATGGAATAGCCACCAGGTTTGGGATTGAGAATCTGTTCCCAACCCTGACTCTGCTGAGTGGCCAGGGACAAATTACTTAACCTCTCTGAGCCTCTGTTTCTTTACTCACAGTGTGAGAATAAGATTCACCTCACAGTTTCCCAGAAGGATTAAAATAAAGCAATGTACATCTAGCATAGTGCCTGATACATAGTAAATGCTCAACGAACAGTTCATCTGGTTGATTTCCCTTAGAGGGAATTAACAACAGACTTTTGGAATGCGCCCAATGGCTGTAGTTACACCTCTGTTTTCAATTCAGGTGCTTCTACGTCAGACTGCCTCACCTCACCCAGGTGTCTGGTTCTCTTCCTTGCCTCCTCCCTTTCCCCTGGTGAGGATGGACAGAGGGCTAAACGAAGCCAGGGAGGTAATGTCTCCTTAGGAGCAGTTTTGCTAGGCAAGTGACTTGGGAGAGACTGGGTCACAGGTCAATGTGGCTGGCACTTCCTTATGCCTCTCTGCACGAACCCGCCCAGACCTTATCAGGGAGTTGGCTCCAGTTCTGGAACTATGAAGCCTTGGACAGAGGGGATGGAGGGAGGGAAAATTGACTGGCGGCGTCTCCTGTTTCCTGGCTGGGCTGCCGTGCCTGGTACTCTGGCAGGCAAGGTGGAGTGGAGGGCAGGATGGGGTGGAGGCCTTTCTCAGGGGTCCATCAGAGGGGAAGTCCTGGGCCTTTCTTCCTGCCTGTCCCTGGGACCCTGTAGGTTGCAATGCAGAGTTGAATTTCCAGTAAGTAGAATAAGCACGTGCCCAGGACACCAGCCAAGTAGAGGCACCAAAAGAACAAGAAATTTTAAGAATTTGACATTTTATATTTCCATAAAAGCATTGATGTATTATAATGGAGATTATGAGGGTTTATGGACTCTCTTATACTGATTTTATGCTTAATAGGCATATACTTAAACATTTTAAAGTTACATATGGGAAGGGGCCCCTTAATACTGTCAGTGCCGAGTGCTCTAAAGCGCTGTTGAGTGGAAGCAGATACACATCCTTGTGTGAGAAGGTGGCAGAGTCGAGACTCCCTCTGCTCCTGGAGCTGTCCGGAGAAAGAGCTGGGGTATGGGGTCGGGAAGGAGGGGTGGTAGCATGGCAAAGTAACCTCAGGAGAAGATGCAGGACTGGGAGGTATAGCTCCAGTTTTTATCCCAGCTCTACCACTGACCCCCTTGGGGGATTCATTTCCCTTCTAGACTTCCATCTTCCTGCAGGCTTCTCCTGTGTTGTCTTAGGGATTCTCTGAGCTCTACCTGGGGGCATCCCTGCCCCACTTCATAAAGGCAGTGTCCAGGCCCCTCTTCCCTGCCTTGAAGTTCAAGCTCCAGGTTTTTCTTTTTTCCCTGTTCTCCACCCATCCTCCCTCCTGGGGAGCCCAAGGCTTGAGCTGAATGGAGAGGAAGTTGGAGGGCTGTGCCCCTTTAGGTGACTCACCCTGCACTGGCCTAAAAGCTTGTGCCAACATGCCTCACTCACTTGGTTAGGGCTGGGGCCACCTTCCTGGAGAGTGGCTGTGGTGTCTGGGTAAAGTGAGAATGGTTCTCCCAGGACCCAGCCAGCTGGGTGGGATCACAACTCTGGGGGTTCTAGTGCTGCCTCTGTCCTGACTTGTTGTGGGAGGGTGTGTAGAGCCCAGCCCACTTAGTGCCTCAGGGAAGGGGACATTCTGGTCATTTCTGAGCAGGGCAAGACTAGCAATGAGGTGCAGCAAAATGAATCCTAGCCCTGAGTCAAGAATCTGAGTCATTGGACTGGCAGGGCAAGAGCATTGGACTAAGAGTCTTCAGTTTTATTTCTGGTACTAGTGCTGTGTGTTCTTAGGCAAATGCTGTACCTCTCTGGGCCTCAGGGTCCTCTTCTATAAAATGAGGGGGTTGGATTGGGGCTCTAAGACATATACCAGTTCTGTTAGTGCAGGCTTGCTTCTGCAACTGACTAGCTGTGTGAACTATAACAAAGTTACTTAACCTTTCCATGCCCCAAAATATAAAATGGGGGAAAGAATACTGCTTTATCTTTCTCACAGGAGTGTTGTGAGAAGCCAATAAGAAGATGCTTTGGGAAAAGTTTATGACAGTTGTCCTGTCAAAAATGTTATTTCTACCTCTATAGTCACAGAGCTTTATTGCTGGAAGGGACCTTTGGTAAATGAGTCTAGGACTCAGCTTCCTAGACATCCTCCACATCAAAGAATTTCAGCAGCAGATATGAAACCAAGAATTTAAAAATTGCAAAATGGCAAACTCATTCAGAAACCATATTGCTTTACCTATGATATAGTACATCTC